AGTATATAGAGTTAGTACATTTACTCAATTGTGTTTATCTACTATTCTCTCATCTATACACCTGTAATAGCCCTAAAACGTTTACCGGAAATCGAACCCGGATCAACTGCTTGAGGACACTTAAGCTGACCATTACACCATCGACGCTTTTGAACTGAAGTAATAATATATTTCGGCTTTTACAATAAAACGCTTTATGATATCAAAAGAATTTGTCACAGCCTAAAGCGTTACAAATTATTGTCATTAAAACACAGTTATTGCCTTTTAAGTAAATGGAAAATATTGCTCTTCCTATTGCTTTGTATTTAATAAAAAATATAGTTTAGGCCCTTGCTTTGCTTTGGCTTTTCTTTAGGTGCCTAACTGTAACTTTCACATTTATAATAGTAGTGGGATAGATGGTCACTTCCTGACGTTGTACACTACAGGTTCGATTCCCATGCATGGCAATTTGAAGTTAATCATGCAGATAGTTCTCGGATACACAGTAGTGATAGCGCAAGTGAAAATTAAGTTGTGTGAGTTTTCAATATGTTTTGTAAAGAATAATTAATTTGAATCTTACAGAAGTAACGACGATTGTTATCTACCCAATAGTAAAGTTATATCAAAATGCTCGCTAACTACTTCTAAACTATACCTATACTAATTTTATATCTTAATATATAAAATTCTTCTGTACGTGTGTTTATTAACCTACTCCTCCTAAAGGACTGGACCGATTTGGATGAAATTTTGTGTGTATATTTCAATGGAATCCTGGATGGTTTGAAAACACAAATGGACTCGGTAGGTGACATTACGGTAGTAGGTAGTTTAGTTTTGCTAAATTCATTTAAATTATAAAATTTACGCCCAATTTAGCAAACAACATTCGACTATCTTCATACATTTAAACATATCAATAAGAAAGACGTGATCTTAGCAAAACCAATCTTTCAATTAATAAAATTAAATTATAATATTATTTAAAGTAAGCTTTAATAAACATTAAAATTCTTTAAAAACTTCGCACCTGTGCATTTCAGAAAATTCAAAAGTCATCGTATCTCAGGATTTTATAACGTGTAAAGTGTAATAAGGCCCCGGGGGCATTGCGCGTTTTCCACTCGTTAGCTGGAAAAAAATGTTATATCTATATCTTTTATTGGTATGGTGTTCACAGAGTAATTAATATAGACGTACCACTTATAAAGATTATTAAGTTGTTTGTATGGATACGTACCAATTACTACAATACCACTTATTAAGTTGTTTGTATGGATACGTACTAATTACTATAATAAATACGCGAAACATAAAATAATATATAGATACTAGCAGAACTTGCGGCTAAGTCCGCGTTCAATCTACGAAAAAAAAAAACTCTTTGGCTTTACGTTATACAGCGACTCACTCTCGCTTCGCTCGGGTTCGTAGCTATGTATTTATGTAACATTGTTGATCAAAAACACTAAAATGGCGATTAAAATATGGGTGGTGTGGGTAGGAGGGTGATAAATGCTTTACAATCTATTCTCATACTTACCATTTGCCGAGCCGTTTCGGAGAAGTGCCACAAACACCGTGAATTCGGATTCGAATTCGGAATCCGATTCGGCGTGAAGAAGTAACACAAATACACTTATACATACGCGTACACGAGCACGCACAAACACAAATCCAACACGGACATGCGGATACACGGATATACATATGTTATATTGGGGCATTAACACACTGCACCATCTAGTTCCATGGTAAGCTTGTGTTATGGATACCAGATAGTTGATACACTACACATATATAACTTTAAATACATACATATTATAATTTATAAATATAAACACCCATGACTGGAACACAAACATTCGTGCTCATCACATAAAGGAATGCACCCAGCGTGACTCGAACCCGCGATCGCTGGCACAGCAAGTAGGGTCACTACAAACTGAGCCAAATAGCAATCTGCGTATTAGCAAATACAACGAAACCTATTTCATTATTTAGTCCAAAATGTTTACATCGTGCTTATTTACTCTGTGGCTTTCCATAATTATCGTGTCTATTTTAGGAAGTAATAAATTTACTTCAAGTACCTGACTCCGTCTGAAACTAACACTTCACTTGATTTACAGCTGTATTAATGGATCCCATCGACTAATATTAGAATTAATATATTGTAATTTTCTTAATGTATATACGATATACATAATATGTAAAATCGAAACACCACCCCACACCACCACACTGAATAATTAGGAAATGAATAAATCGAACGAAGCTCGGTCACCCAGGTACTAGTTTAAGTAAAAGAAAACAAATTCACTGTCTCGTTAAACAAAAATGGTAGAGCAAAATGAGTTGTTCTATGCCCTTTCTATCAACCCTATATAATAGCAACAGGAAAGCATTAAAAATTGCTATTTTAAACAATCAGGCGATGTGTTTGATAAATCAACTAAACTATTACAGCTCGTTTTTTTTCTCATTTTATCATTATATTTTTATTTTACTTAATAGCGTATGTATAAATGTATAAATATGTTGGGACATTAACACACAACACCATCTAGTTCCACGGTAAGCTAGGAGGTTGTGTTATGGATACCAGATAGTTGATACACTACACATGTATACTTTAAATACATATTATAAATATAAACACCCATGACTGGAGTACATTCGTGCTCAAAACACAAATGAATGCCCCCAGCGGGACTCGAACCCGCGACCACTGGCACAGCAAGTAGGGTCACTACATAATAAGCCAAACGTGTCGTCTCGTATAGCGACAGTTAACTTACGATTTTTCACATATTTATAGTTTATCAAAATGGCCTGCATATGAAATGCGAACCTAAATTAAAAAATTTGACGACCCTTATAAATTACTATTAAAGTTTATTTTTTTATAAATGAACCTTGATACGTTTGAAGTATTGCCAGTTCAAAAATAAATAAATTATTACAATCGGTTAAAAATTATTCGTTAATTTTACTTTCACGAATCGTATTATACATACTTACATAAAAATACATGAAATTAAACCCTCTTTTTTAATGTCGGTTAAAATATATTGTGGTAATATTAAAACAATCACCAATTGTTTTATAATTCAATATTGTTTTTACTGTTTCATTTGGCTATTAAAATGTTTTGTTTAGAAAAAACTTAATATATAAAGGTATTTATTTAAAGCAATTATCATCCATGACGATCAGCAAAACTTCATAGAATATTATATTTTATACTTCCTGTATCAAAGAGATGTTAGAATTAATACAATGACGAAATGTTCACTATAGTTCATTACAGTTGTTTGAAATTCATGTTCGTATGTTTTTATCCAAGGCAAGTGGTTGCCTAGTGGTATGTGTTCTTTTGAGAAAGCAAGTGAAGCGGGTTCAAATCCAGAGTCTGAATACCTTTGAATCATTTCCAATATAATTACCACTTGGTCTCCGGTGAAGAAAAACATCGTGAATTTCGAAAAACATGTGAATTCCGCCAACCCATATTTAGCCAGCGTGGTGGTCTATGGCTTGAGCCTTGCTTTGAAGGGAGGCCCGTGCCCACCAGTTGAACGTAAAAAGAATTGCTGAATAAATACAACATATATGAAGTAGGAGGTGTATGTATGTATTCAGCCCTTTTAACGTCCCACTGCTGGGCACGGGCCTCCCTTTAATACGAGGGGGATCAGGCCATAGTCCACCACGCTGACCAAGTGCGGGTTGGCGGACTTCACATGTCTTTCGAAAACTTGCTAGGTTTTCTCAGACATGCAGGTTTCCTCACGCTGTTTTTCGTTCACCGTAAGGCAAGTGGTAATCACGTTAGAAATGATTCCCACATGAAAATATAAGAGGTGCGAGACCCGGGATTTGAACCCGCTTCACTCGGTTTCCCAAGCAAGCGCGTTACCACTGGGCTACCACTGCCATTAAAGTAGCAGAAGTAGGAGGTATGAAATAAAAATAATATTTTATACGAGAAACGTTTTATTGAAACATTTAAAATCACCACGGCTTAAGTACAAGTCACAATAATTATTAAACAGGCGATTGTGCACCCGTCAATGTATGGCAAAGTTTTGTAAAAACAATACATAAATACCTATTATTTACACTTAAATCTAATTATATACAACATCGAAGTAACAGTTCCATATAAAATATTTTATGCGTCACGCAAGGCACCGTTTTAGCACCACAATTCTTCCTCTTATACAATTTTGGATAATTTTATAACAATATCACTCCTTTCTTTAAAATAACGTTGACACGCATTATACATTTGTAATTTTTTTAAATACATATTTCTGATGTATATAAAAACACTGGTGTATACATTCAATATCAAAATTTGAATAAAATAGGTTTAAGTTTATTACACTATTTATATTTTATGAATAATAATATATAATATAATAAATCTTACTATTCAATACTGTCAATAAAATAGCAATCACATTAATAATATCATTTGTAATAAAATATCTCCATTTAACAATTACAAGCGCTAGGAAGAGCTACATATGATCAAAACACAAAATTAAAATCTACATCAACTCTATACATATTTACAGCGTAAAATGAATAATTTGTGACATTAAGAAATTTAACACAGATCAAAAATATAATTTTACAATTATATTTGGTTTTACATTATTGCATTTGATTGATTTTAATTAGGTATTTTTCACTAAATTATAATACTATTACGAGCTTACAGTGAGAAGCTCAAATAATTTAACAAATTTTATGGATACAATGTTTTTTTTTTAATTAGAATAATATATTAATTTTTAAGCATATGATGAAAAAGGAACTACGAACACCTACATATAAAGGCACTGTCGGCAAACACTAAAATATAAACAATAATACTGGATATAGGCTGCTCAGAACACAGAGTTCTAAAAGAACAAATCTGTGTCCTTTCGACGTCTTATTTATTATCTACAAGGAAATTCAGTCTGTATTTTTAAATTCTGTTCTTAAATTAAATACTATCGATTTATACACAATGATTCTACATACTTAGGATCCATCTCATCAATCTCTCGCCCTTTGGTTTCAGGGACGAAAAGAACGACAAATAGAAGACAAAGGAGTGATATGCCAGCATATAACCAAAAAAGACCGTATAAGCCTATATGATCTTGAAAATCAGCAGCTGTTTTAACATTAACAAAACCACAAAGGTGACTAAAACTGGTTGCTAGAGCACTGCCTGTACTCCTGTATTCCAAAGGGAATAACTCACCAATTAGTAAAGAAGATATAGGGCTGATACCGAGAGAAAACGCGATTGTGAAAGTGAGAACGCACAGTAGTGGTATCCAATCGTATGACCCGGGTTCTATATGAGACAGGTCAGTTGAATTTCTGAAAACATTATCATAATAGGCGTAAGAACCAAATCCAGCTAACGCTATGGACATCATCACCCCACTGATCAAGAGCAAAGGTAGCCTTCCAACATGGTCTATTAGCATTCCCGATAGGCAAGATGCTAAAAGTTGTACTACACTAGTCGCGATCGCCCCGCCGTGTGGGTTCATCATCCTAAGTGTTTTCTTAAACATAGGCACAGCATAAAAGCTAAACACGTGAGCGCCAGTGAATCTTTGGAAGAACATCAACCCACAGGTTATCAAAACTGGTCTAGTTAATCGTTTAGACAGAAGCGCTTTAAATTTTCCAGCTTGACCGCTATGATATTGTTTGCTCGCTAAAATGTTTGTTCTGATCGTGGCTAACTCTTGTCGTATATCGGCATCTGGACCTCGCAACCATTGCAGAGAATCTGCCGCTTCATCTTCTTTCCCTCGGAGAAGTAGTGAAGACGGCGTTTCTGGTATGAACAACAGAGCTAAGAATAGCAGCACTGGGGCAGCAGCTACCACTAAAGCCAGTTGATCCCAATTCAGATATGCGCCCAAGGAAAATGATATGAGAATACCAATTTGGCTCAGGATCTTCAGAACTGAGCTTAAGCATCCACGTATTTCTGGGACTGCTATCTCTGTTACGTAAACCTGCAACAAAAACAAAAAGGTTTAATTTTTTAATGCGTTAATATAGTGATGTGACATACTTTTAACAAAGTGTCATTAATTTTTAAAATGCGCACTGTTTTTATCGTCTTGGAATCAAACTAAAAAGACTTTAGTCATTACATTTATGCTACACTAATCCCATTATTATCAATATTATAAATACGCAAATTTGGATGGATGTTTGTTACTCAATCACGCCAAAACATCAGAACAGGTCTGGATGAAATTTAGCACAGATATAGATTATAGTGTGGAATAGCACATAGGTTAATTTTTATCCCGGAAAAATGTACGGTTCCTGTGGGATAGGTTTGTTTTTTTTTCTCCGCTAGCGTATAATAATAGACTAATAAAAACTATAAAGTTAACATTTTAATATGTATTGTTCTCCATGAAGGACTGTACTATTAAATATAATATGATAATAAAGCAGTTAATATAAATATTTAATGTGATTGTGACAGATGGAATGGTATTTGTTTTGAAAATATAATAACAACTGCCACCCAATGGCAGTTCTGATGGCCCACTGCACTGACGCGAGTTCGATTCCCGTACGTGGGAAATATATTGTGTTTATTTATCTTGACTTCGTTAATATAGAAAAGGGGTTAACGAAATCCGCTAAAAATTTAAAGCACGATCAACAATATCCTATAAGAAATTATTATTTTTGTTTCATTCAGTTTGAATTTATTTTACTATAATTAAACACAATATATTATACATTATACAATATTATTACAGTTAGTTTGTAAAGATTATACTTCTAAACAAGAAAGCCGACATAAAAGTTAAAAAAAACCCAAATATAACCTAATTGTCTATCCTAAGAGAATTCTACTGTCCTCAATAGTCTTAAAATTAGCCTACGAATTATTGAAGTGGCAAACTCAGTATTGTTCTATAGAACGTTTTCTAAACTAAAATGACTTCAAGCTTAAAGTTATTTTCAACTATTATCTACATTGTACTCATACAAGCACACATTTACATATTGTATTACTTTATTTTCATATGTAAAGCCTAATATAAATACTACGAGTACACAGACGGCATAGAAACTCCTTCGAAGCGACGTTAGAATATGCATGAGTGAAAGTGAAGTGACATCACCTGTCAAAACAAGTGTTTCAAAATTAAGTAGCTATATAATGTGTGCATAGAATAAAGGATTTATAATAATACATATTAATATTATAAATGCGAGAGTAACTCTGTCTGTCTGTCTGTTAGCTTTTCACGTTTCCGCTGAACCGATTTAGATGAAATTTGATATGGAGATAGTTTGAGACCTGGAGAACGATATAGGATAGTTGTCTCGGAAATTATCCCTTTAGAGGGTGAAAAGGGGGATGGAAGTTTGTATGGGGAATCAATGATTTTTTATAATATACGTTATATGCTCACAAAACTAGCAAAAAAGGGTTCCGGATGAAATAAAAAGATAAAGTGTTGATATAACTTTTAATAGATATACCGTTGACCTCGTTCGTCGATTTTAAACGAACCTTTCAATTTATACATCCATAAATCAGGCAAAAGCTTGAGATAAAATAAGAAAACATGAAAGTAGGTAATTATTTTTCATGAGCACTTGAAACTTGGATTTTGTTTGAAATCTTTTAATGGATGATCGCTTTTATATAAATAAATGGAATTTTATTTTAGTTTTGAGGAATATTTTAACTAACCTTCGCCTGCGATTGTTAATGCGTAATTTTTAAATTTATTTATTTATTTATTATAAAGGCTTACTAACTAAATTTACATAAAACATGTATTTAACATTATAATGTTACTGATTCGTATATAAATTTAATTTAAAAGTATGCACAGCTTTTTATAGAAATATTCCATTAAAATTTTATGTGGTTACGAGTATATAAGGAGCCATTTCAGTTGTACAATAAACAAAAGAAGAAAAAAAAGAAAAAAATGTATTTTTTTAAATAAATTTAAGTTATCAGAAAAAATGTCTATATTACTGAAATATAAAATTATATAATTTAAAACTTCGTAAGAGTGGTGAATTAGATTAAATTTTTTTATCTATTTTATATATATATATATATATATATATATATATATATATATATATATATATATATATGTACGTACGACATATTTTCTAGAACTACTGACCTGTTCAAAAACACCATACGAGCAGAGTCCTAGGCGAATCTTAGTTTTTAATAGTGACCTAATATTTTTCTCTACGCACTAACATTATATCTTCGTGCTAGAATTTTTACAATATCCGTTGACTTCTCTGAAGAACGTAGAGAAAAACTATGTGAAAATTATATTTTCCCATACCAGAGATATGCTTAATAAATAAAACAACAGATATGTCAATCGATGAGAAGCGTACGGTATACTCGTATTATACTGTTGACTTAGACTGTAGTATAATTCACAAGTGTGTGGTATAAAAAATTAAATCTTTATTGATGTTATTATTTATTAATGATAGTTATCCGCCAATAAAACTTAAGTTAAAAAATATGTTACTAGTCTTAAGAATCAAAAAAAAATAATTTTGACTATTTGACAATACCTACTACAATTATTTTACTGTCCTAGCGACTCACTCGAATTCGGCCCTAGGTTGATTCCCCATACAAACTTTCATCCCCATTTTCACCCCTTTAAGGGATTATTTTCGGAATAAACAATATCCTGTGTCCTTCCCAGGGTCTCAAACTATCTTCTTACCAAATTTCATTGAAATCGGTTCCGTAGATCCAGAGATTACCACCTACAACGTCACAAACTCACAAACTTTACCTCTTTATAATATTAGTATAGATTATATGCATATATATGCACCATAGTTACCGACGTTTTGAATGTTTTTTAGCAATCTTGGTCACGGGAAAGGTAAGGTCGGAAACTAAAAATCTAAATAAATCCATAAAGATGGTTTTATTGAAAGTGTTAAATATTTGCGTAAATCTAAGAAATTATTAAGCTTTTTTTATTAACTATAATATCTATACTCGTTAACGGTGTCTGTACTCAATTTTTTAAGAAATTTGTTAAGTAAAAAATTGTACATGTGTTCATAACATTCTTTAGCAGTAACATCATATCGTGAAAACTTTGTGCCATTTCACACAATATTAATGTGGAACATGCAGATAAAACAAGCTGCAACAATATAGTTTACTCTAAAGCTTTACAATGCCTAGGGTACTATAGGTTTACCCGCTATTCATGGAAGTTGAAAATAAAATAGAATATTTTAGTAAAAATACATTGGTATATTAGTACACAACACACATTTCCTAACAAATATCTCTTATAAAAGTGGCATCAACATGTGACTTATCAAATCAAAGAGTAAATTAAGAAATCGAAAGCTCTAAATTATCTAAACACAAATTCGAATTTACGCATACTGCAGTATTTTTTTTTATTGAAAAAACGTGCGTTTTATTTTTGTCACCCGAAAAGTAATAGACAAAAGAGATTTGACAAAGACGCAATTCAATTTCATACTGTGCACTTCTTTTTGAGGACACATTTGAGACGCCAATTGAAAAACATTGTTGAACAAACAGTATGTTAGATTATTTTAGAATTTTACTATATGACGACACGTTTGGCTCAGTTTGTAGTGACCCTACTTGCTGTGCCAGCGGTCGCGGGTTCGAGTCCCGCTAGCATTCATTTGTGTGATGAGCATAAATGTTTGTACTCCAGTCATGGTTTTTATATTTATAATATATATATATATATATATATATATACATATATATGTATGTACTTAAAGTTATATATGTATATATATATATACATATATATATATTATCTGACACTGTTTATTAAATCAGTAGTTCACGGCTTAACAGATTTGGATTATAGTTCGAAATGGAGAAAGCTCATATTCTGGACAGTCCATTGGTAACGCTCGCTCGCTTGGAAACCAAGTGATAAGGTTCAAACCGCGGTTCTAATACCGCCAATATTTTAACGTGTGACTCAAGGTGAACAAAGACATGGCATGAGGAAATGTAAATATCTGAGAGAATGTAGGTATTTTTTGAAAGACATGTGAAACCCATGAACCAGCACTTTGCCAGCGTGGACTATGGCCTGATCCCATGAATTCTTCAATTCAAGGAGACGCGCAGTGACTTTAAAAGAGGCTAAATTACCCATACTATTATTATTGACGTATCTACCTGCCAAAGAAGCGGAACCGCGGTCAAAGACAAAATTTTTAATAACTAATACAAATTATATTTGAAATTTAATCAAATTCCGATGAATTTTCGTTATTCAAATATTTGTACCCAAAAATACACTACGAGTCCTTTACAAAACGAAGGTTATCTTACTGGCTACAGACCAAATAGAAATTTAAAACCTTTTTATATGCGAAATATGTAGGTATATAAATATGTTATTTTTATGTTTCCATCATAAACGGTAATAGAATACTATATTATGTATTTTCTTTATATGCTAAATATATAAACTAGAGTTCAACGCGTCGTCGAACTTCGACCATGATTATTATTGTTTTTTTTATTTATAAATCTAAAGCTTTTACTTTCAGGTTCACAAACAAAATGTTTATTTTAATTAATGTATTTTATATAAAAATATTAGCTTTCTACACTATATCTCCGTATAAACTTTAACTGTGTATAGATAAGCATTTATTATGTTTCTATCATAAATAATAATTTTATTATCTATCTGAATATGTTACTTTTCGCACGTCTCTTAACTGACTAACTTATACATACATACAGATAAATAATTAAAGTGTCTGTTTGTAATGTCGAAATAAGAGCGTTTTACTAAATGCATATGAAATTATATACGGTACCTATTAGAAAATACAATTTTTAAAAATTTTGTTTTTATCTGTGTGTCAGTTTGTTCCGGCTAATCTCTGAAACGGCTGGACTGATTTTGACGGAACTTTTACTGGCAGATAGCTGATGTTATAAGGAGCAACTTAGGCTACTTTAATTTTAGAAAAGAAATTAGGGTTCCGCTCAAGAAAAAAGCGTAGCTAGAGACCTAAGCGATGCGAGGGTAAGTCAACATATAGAAATAGCATGTAGTGTATTTAGTACAATTAATGAAAAAAATACAATGTACATTTATACCAAATCTCTAAAGTTATTATAGCAACCTGCTGTTATATATATAACTTGCGGACCCGACAGACGTTGTCCTGTCTACACGTCTTTAATTTGAAAATTTCTAACTTTTTTTAATAATTTTTTTGATGAAAATTATTATTCAAATTGTGAATCTAAACCATTCCCAGATCCCCTTGAACACACACAAAAAATTTCATCAAAATCGGTCCAGTCGTTTGAGAGAAGTTAAGTGACATACACACTCACAGAAGAATTATATATATAATGATACAGTCCCATAGAATAAGCAAAAAGTATATAAATTACTTACTACACCTGTGACCTAAATATGTCAAACACTTAAAATACAATACACATTTCGACTTGCAATATTATTTTATATTTATATTTTATTGAATGCATATACTAGATAAATAACCCAGCGTTACGTAATATGTTATAAAGATTATTCATTGACCGACTTTAAAGAGAAAAGGTACATGATTCGCGAGTATATGCGATATATTGCCTAATAGTGAACCGATTTTGATAAATCTTTTTCCAATGAATAGATGATATCTCCTACATATTATATATAACTTTAAGATATAAAAAACTCAAGAAATCCACCCCCAAGAGTGGAATATCTTTTTTATAAAAAAAACGCACGTGTGTAGGTACTTATTGTGTACGTACGTAAGAACTTATACTTCTTTGGCGTAACAGAACAAAAATAGCCAAAGATTTCATCCCGTATGTCACAACTCTCTGTTTGAAAAAGGAATGCAGCTAACTTCTTCATGTCGCTTTTTGGCTGTCGGTGTGCGCGCGCATCGTAAGAATTCTACTATAACATTTTTTTTTCCAAACGTCCCAAAGGAAGTATAACTACAAAAATATTAACTGGACCAATTTTCAATTAGATATTAAGCAAAACTTTTACACTTTTGTAAAACAAATAAATAAAATCGAAAATTAATCATAAGTAAATCATACATAATGCCCCAACCGATTTTGATTACGACCACCAACTTCACTACGGATAACCTGTGCAGACCAATGAGAGAGATACTAGCCCATAAGATAACGTGTTACAAGAAAACGTCAGGTGGTAATGCTATAAACAAAAATAATTACTTAAGAAATTACCTGAGTAATCATGGTTATGCAGCAAACTAGCATGCCTCCGCAGAACGACGTGATTGATATCATATTCACGCTATTTGAAAGTGCAGTCGCTAACCACGCCACAGTGTAGGGAAGAGCAGTTATTAGTAGTACAGTTCGTCGACCAAACCTCATCGCCATACCGCCCAAAATGCCGCCTATTAAAGCACCTAGAAAAAACATACAAATATTATAAAACGACAGAGTGGTTCATATGGAAGTTAAAAGTAAAAAGTTGTCTTGAAAAGTTCTTTAGATTATAGATAATCATTACGTATAAAAAATTAAGAGTTTGTTCAGTTCGTTCGTTTGTTCGGGATAATCTTCAAAACTGCTATACGGATTTTCATACGATTTTCACCGATAGAAAGTGGGATTATGTAGGAAGGAAATAACTAGCGTTTTCCCGCGGCTTCGCATGAACTAAGCATCTTAGATTTAGCCTCTGTATCGATAAAAATGACTATTTCAATAAGATTTTCCAAGAAAATATTTAATGTACAGATTTGACTCACAATTTTATTATATATGTATAGACATAGAAGAAAAAAATAAAAGAAGATTTTGTCGATGCAACAATTTAAAGTTTTTAACCTAATTGAATAACGAAAAAAATTTTTTTAGCAAAATAGTACGAAACCATAAATTTCAAGCACCAAAATCTCAGTCTAAATAAAAGCTGTTTCATTTCAAAACCGGATGTTTTCTCTTACAATGTAAAGTATGAAATCCTATCAATTGTAATAGAAATAATAAAATCGATTTCTAAACGATTCTATCAATCGCTCAATAATATTTAAATGCAAATACAGACTGTTTACTCGATTTTAAAGCGCATCGATATAGGTGGCGCCTCTATAATTTACGTTCCACAGAACAAAGGATTCGTTAGAAGTGGCATGACGAATTCTAAGAATTAAGACACCGACAAAATAATATGTAAAAGCAAAAATAGAGATAAATTCGCACTTTTACTATATACAGTATTAAATCAATACTAATATTATAAAGAGATAAAGTTTGTGAGTTTGTGACGTTGTAGGTGATAATCTCTGGATCTACTGAACACTTTGATGAAATTTGGTAAGATGATAGTTTGAGACCCTGGGAAGGACATAGGATACTTTTTATCCCGGAAATCATCCCTAAAGGGGGTGAAAATGGGGATGATAGTTTGTATGGGGAATCAAGCTAGGAAGGAACCCGAGCGAAGCGAGGGTGAGTCGCTAGTAATATTATAATTACGATAAAGTGTTTATTAATTTTCTGTTCTTTAACGTAGTAATAGGGTGATATGGTTTTTGTATAGAAATGAGAGAGGTTTAATTGAAATCGATCGATAGCATTATACCCGCGGTTACACTCGTATAATTTATTTATGAATACTTGCCTTCTAAGGTTCGTTACATGTTATTAGATATCTTATACCTTTCTTCAATAAATATGCTATGATATACATAAAAGACTTTTTCAAATAGGACTGGATTTTGCGTGATAAGACGTGTTGGAATATAATAGTACCTAAACTCTAAAAAAAAAATTTTTTCATTGTCAACGGTGACAACTGTCTCTTTCCGTAACCCCTATAAAGATTGTACCGATCCTTTATTTGTAATATAGTATAACTAGCGTTTTCCTGCGGCTCCGCTGCATAGTACATTAATCACCAACATATTATCATATACTAAAACCTTCTCCGAAACACGCTGCACCTTATGGTATGAATATTATTCCGATCAGTTCAGTAGTTATCGCAGTATAACCGAGCAAAAAAATCAGCTCTCCATTTATTAGTATAGATTATATAGTTTATTCTGCTAAATACATGTTTTTCTGACCTTAAAATACCTTTAAATAACAAACAAACTTAAGATTTATTTATATTAGTAATAAATATTATGTAGCTGTTCTTAGAGCAAGGTGATGTACGAAATGTTGGTATGCTCAGAATGAATCGGGATAGAGATATAAATAAATGCCGACAGACTGACTATTTTTGTTTCATGAACATTTCCGAGATTTTTGGACGCATTTTTATCATGACCTAGAAACATTTTTATGAGCTACATGTTCAATTATATTATAATATCAAATATTCTATTCTTATTCTATCTCCATAATACATACTAATACTATAAATGTGAAAGTATGTTTGTTTGTTTGTTTGTTTGCTTGTTTGTTTGTTAGTTTGTCCTTCTTTCACATCAAAGTCACGGATTGACATGATTTTCGTGTGGGAATAGTTGGAGTGCTAGAGAGTGACATAGGTTACTTTTTACTGCGGGAGATTATCTCATTCCCACGGGAAAATACGTTATAATGTAAACCACAACAACTCATCACACCTATATATACCTATAATACATAGTATATAGTCTATCTCCATCTATTCCATACTAACCGTTAAAACGTACCTAAGGACGAATCCGAGCGAAGCGAGGGTGAACCGCAAGTATGTAATATACATAGGTATATAAATATTATTAATAATATTATTTATCATAAATAAATGAAATGCCGTTTGCTGATAAGCGGTCATCACATGAGAATGGCTGAGCCGATTTAACATTTTTTATCAATTTAAATAATAGCAAGTAAGGTTTTTAAGGAAAAATTCAAATAAATTGCTCGGAAAATTGGGAAATTCTGGAAAAACTTAGTTTTATTTTATATATGATTTTTATATCAACTGAAAAATTACAAAAGGCAATAGTCTGTCAGCTCAACTGGTATACATATTATGTACGTAGTATCGTTTTACGAGGACAAATGTAAGGTGTAAGTCACGTGTTTACTTTATTTTACTGGCAATGGCGGCAAAATACAGGAGTTTTGTTCGAAAATGATGCATAAGAGAATATTTTAGCGAATCAAGAACCAAAACAACTGTCCGTTTCTGTTTGCCTGTCGGTCTATCTGTTTATCCGTATGTCTGCGCGCTCATTACTACGTGCAAACGTCTAAATAAATACCAACGCATGTACTAAAATGATTATAATATAAAAATTTTTAGTTTTTGGTACTCAATTCGTATGTAGACTGTGTGGGTTACACAATATCTTCTAACTTTTGGCCATTCTATAGGTATAGATGGAAAAAAAAACCTGCATATGGAACAACTCACTTTGCTGACTTTAATAAAAAGTAAATAGTAATATAAAAATAGTTTGTATCCTGAAATATTATATTTTCGATCGAACTTAGAATAAAAGATGCTCACATTTCATATAAAAGCTTGTAGTTTTAACCGATATGCCTTTATTTTTCAACTTCGAAATAATATAGGTCCCTATTTTCATTTGTTCATGCGTTAAACGATGATTTTTCAATCATAAATATATTGAAAATATATCTACATAGTATGAATTGTTCATATCATTGAAATTATTTTTACAAAATAGTATGAAATATTATAAATAACTAAGTATTTTTAGATACAAAAATATGGACTTAGATGGATTTCATTTATAGGATTTTTTTTTTGATGTAAAAATTCTTTAGGCGTGACTGAGGGGTAAGTCATACATAAGAAAATGAGTGTCGCGGAAGTGAGAGTCAAATTTATTATTAATAATTTAAAAAAAAATGTTTTATAATAATTACTATGTACTTAGGTATAATATATATATATTTATTATATTTTATAATACTTATTACTTATAAAAATGAATATTTATTACTGTGGGATGAATGACCATAAATTAAAAAGAAGCTGTTATGACTAATTGTTGCCATGGTAACCGTTGTTATTGTCTGACACATGATATAAAATATTATAATATTCTTTACTTAAATGATATTCTATAAATATATGGATTGTAATATGCCTAATATGCCTTATGTATTTATTGACTTGTTTTAATTTAATTGCGATATTTGCCAAAGAAGTTTTACTTCAACCGCGCGTAAAGGTTACACGCACTAAATTTTTTTATAATCGTCTGTGGGCCGTGATGTGGGCTTTTTTATATCAGTCCGTTAAATGTTTCTATTAATATTCAAATATTATATTGCAACACGTTACTAAGACGATGTTATAGACGATAGTTTACAACATATTTACTACATAATATAAAACAAAGTCCTCCGCCGCGTCTGTCTGTCTGTCTGTTCATGATAAACTCAAAAATTACTGCACCGATTTTCATGCTGTTTTCGCCAATAGATAGAGTGGTTCTCGAAAAAGGTTTTAGTATATAATTTGTTACGTTTTTGTATACATTGGCTAAAATATAACGATATTTGTTGGATGTGTCGGAAAAATATAAGCCGCGCTTTCAACGAAAATGCTGCCTAAACCCTTTGTGATATAACAAAATAATGTATGGTGGAATTGTGTATCATATATAGGTCTATAAAAAGGCCTGCGATGGCATAGTCTATCTCTTAAGGATAGCATACTATATCTATACTAAACGTTTAAACGTATCTATAACGACCCCGAATCATATAAACGAACCCGAGCGGAGTGAGGGTCAGTCGCTAGTTATATGTACATAATATATAAAAATAAGTCGTGTTCGTAATCCTTCTACTAAACAGCTTGGTCAATTTTGATGATAATTTTTGTCCGGAAACTTCGATGATCACTGACAATATGACTGATGATGATGATGACCCGTGACTCATCATATTAATTGACATTTTATGTGTTCTTATAGGATCATCTGGTTGGCTCTTACCTAGAATTGAACCCCCTGCATGTTGTCAAGGTCCAGAATTCTTTAAATTTCCGACAACGCCAGGTCTCAGAACAACGTCTTTATACGAAGACCGCTAGTTACGAGTATGTATAAGTAAGTTTTAAAAAGGTTAAACAAATAATAACAACAATATGCTAATAAATTAATAGAACTTAAGTCTTATAAAATATATTTTCAAAAGCATTCAACAATATTTTTATTATTTCACAAATAAACCCATTGCTTTATATTTGCTAATATCAAAACAGATAATTTTAAAATTTCGCATTTTCAACACTGGAACTGTATTTTTAAAATTAATAAATAAGAAAAGCTCGAATGGAAAAAAATGTTTTTATATGAAAATTTATTTAAATATATTTTTATATAATATTTATAAAGAATAGAGCTCAATAATAAAAGATGTGATTGTCTTTATATTCATTTTTAACTTCCTCGGTGATGTAGTGGCTAGCATGTACGGCTGC